CGGCCCCGGGGGAGCAGCGCCAAGCTTCGGGGCGGGTGAGGAGCGGGAGGGCGCTTCACGTCTGGCCGCGTGGAGAACGCCCTGAAAGCGGGGTGCTGGGGGCCGTGCCCTCCCTGGGGCGGCATTTGGCCCGCGGCGTTTTGTTCGGGGTTGAAACCCTGCGCCAAGAAACCAAGCGCACAGAAACCTAGGACAGCCCGAGCCTGGATCCCGCGCGTTTTGGCAGCAGGCTGTGCCCGCGTCTCCTCGGACACACGCACCCAAAACCTGCCTCTCTGTTTTTCAGCCAAAGGTGTTTTCTGAGGTATTCCAACGGTCTTGCATTTGCTGTTTTAATTATGTACCTCTCATATGTGTATGTAATTATATACATCTTGTCATATAAATGTCCTGCATATATTTACAGCCCGCTTTGAATAAAGTATCCTAATGCAAATAGGGTATAATCCTTTATTTTGGAAGAATTTATTCGGTAATCCTGTAATGAGAAAAAAGAGACTGGGTTGTGAATAGAAAATACCAACTCATGTAATTAATTAACACGGCAAACAGGTATTTATTTTTAGATTAGGTATTTTATATTTTTGCCTCTTAATTAAAACTACTTCATCCAGTAGTGCCAATGTAAATAATTTTCAGTCCCGTCAGTATCTGATTTCCATTGTGCTGTCATGATATTCTTGGTAGTTAGAACAGAGACTGGAAATTTTTTAAACAAATTTTCACCAGCAAAGCCGGCAGCTTAGCCTGTAAAAATCAGCATATTTAAGATAAACTAGCTGGATTGTATCAGTTCATAACAGATTGTTAACATTTGGTCGTGTTTTTTAAGATCCTGGTTGCTTTGTGTCTTGGAGACCACAGTCTTCATAATGCAGCCCACTGTGTGGTTCTTGCTGTGACACTGAAAATTGGAAAACATTTCTTGTTAGCGTCTTTGCCTGTAAGACTAACCCGTAATTCAAATAATTTATCTATAGTCTTTGTTAAAACAGTAGCAGCTGTCAAAATAACACAAGGTGTCAGGTAAGAGCCAACTCCACGCTTTGCCTTACAGGACTAGAGAACCATCTGTAGTTCCACGTACATGGATTTTGCCAACATCTGCAAACCACAGCAGGTCTCTGATTTTCATTCCAATAGTAGGTTCTAAATTTTAGTTTGTAAGAATTATCTACACATTTGCTAGTTTGCCTCAAGAGATTTACTCTTATTTAACAATCGGTCAAATGACCCTGCAGAACAGAACGTATTTGTGAAGAATTGTAAATGGGACAGCAGATGGAATTAAGGCAATATAGCACTGAAAAAGGAAGAGCAATGCTTTTGCGTATTCAGCAGACAGCGGTGCTACAGGGCTCTGTTGCGGAAGGTAGCTAGCGTCACCCTTATAAAAACAACTGTTTGCAGTGTCTCTGTGTCTCTCCAGTTCGCAGGATCTCATTATGCTCCACGAAGATCTCTAGCTCCTTTTCAGCATGTATTATAAAGGGAAGCGTATGTGGTTATGCTGGTTTGTGTGCATATTTTTTTATGCAAGTGGATAAATTCATGCAAAATTTTGAGGCTGTTGGCTGAAGTCAAATCTGACTGAGAGGTAGATGTCTCGAAAAATTAATTTCATACAGTTATAACTAAAGTAGGCAACTGGGTAGTAATCAGAACCCCTACTAACATCCTCACCAACAGGAAGGTTGCAGTGCAGACTCAGCCCTCATTAAACACAAGAGAATCCACACAGAGGGAGACATTACAAACGATCTTATCCTAAAGAAAACAGCAACAGACGCATTCATCTTCTTGGATACCAAAGGATCCAAGTGCAAGATGCAAATGCTTAAGGAACTACACAGTGAGTCAGTGGCAAAGACAGGAATAGAAACACTGCCCCGCTCTTACTCCTATATCGGGCACGGTGGAGTGAAGTGTGAGCTTGTCGGAGAGGGAGGAAAGCGACACACAGGGGAAAACACAACGCTGTGTGAAAATCAGCCTGTGCAGTGAGTTGAAAATGCTGTAAACTTTAATTTTAAGGCCTGTAGCTATTGAGTTAATCTTACTCAGGATAGACTAGGAAGGGTGTGAGCAAAATAATGTGAAAAATACTGATGGACTGGATAAAACGGTCTCTTGTGGCTCCAGAAAATTTGCAAGCTCATTCCAGCTGTCAAAAAATAAACTTACCCAGAGAATATACGTAAAACATATTGCAATGTATATAATGTCTCTATATTGCACACTTTTTAAATGCAGTCACTGTATTTAAAATCTCTCTTCCTCCAAGAAGAGAAAGAAGGAAGTCTCGTCAGGCAGACCTATACAAGAAACCAGAACTGGTTTCCTTCTCCTTGTCTCACTTCTCTCTTGTAAAACTATCTCACCCTAGACTCAGTGCTCACATATTTACAGCAGATATTATGATTAAGAGGAGACCTGATTCAGAACTCAAAATTAAGCCTTTGATGGTTTACTGTGATTGCATTTGGAGCTCATGCCTCTGTCGAGGTCCCTGATGCGCTAGCCAGCTGGGGAACTGGAACAGGCTAGAACCCAACGCTTCAACAGGACGTGTATTTGCACCCAAGGGTGCCTCCTGCGAGGGCACGGCAGCTCCCACCTCCCCTGCCTTCTCTCTGCAGGCTGCTGGGGAGAGTCTGCAGGCTGCTGGGGAGAGCGAGCCTGCAGCCAGGTTAGTGGCAGGGGCCGCGCTGTGCTTGCAAGCTGCATGCAGATTGATGCCAAATCTCACTGACGCCACATGGTTTTATGAAGACAGTGACTGTAGATTTCAGCCACGTTTATCCAGTGCCAGTCATTACTGCTTTGTCAAAAGAATATAACACCAAGTGGTTAATTAAATAGTTCATTTAATTGTCCAAATGGGGGAGCACTATTATAACAAACTTCATGACATCAACAACTTCATCAACTTCATCAACATCGTCTTTGGCAACAGGCTAGCCAACCTGGTGTGGAGGGCTTTAAACTGAAGGACTTGGGGCTAGGGGCAAAGTCAGAATGCTCAAGCCATCCCATCTGCCTGGGGATTAACAGTGGCTAATCAGAGCAGAGACAAATATTCCTCAGCTGTGTCCCAAACTGAGAAGCAAAAGACCAACAGCCTTAAGGGTAGGCATGGACACGGCAGATCCTCTTGCACCCCTCCAGGGAAACCAGCATGCTCGAGTTCCTCTCTGAAATGTCTGCACACCAATGCACGCAGCACGGGAATAAGTGAGAATCAGAGATCTGTGCGTGGTCGCAGGGTCACGATCCCATTGCAATTACAGAGACATGGTGGGACAGCTCGCATGACTGGCATGCTGTCATGGATAGCTACACACTCTTTAGCAAAGACAGGCTAACAAGGTGAGGTGGTGGAGTTGCTCTGTATGTGAGGGAGCAGCTGGAATGTATTGAGCTCTGCCTGGGGGCTGATGAAGAAGGAGTCGAGAGCTTATGGGTTAGAATTAAGGGACAGCCTCATATGGGTGATGTTATTGTGGGTGTGTAATACAGGCCACCTGACCAGGAGGAGGAAGTTGATGAGACCTTCTATAGACAGCTGAAAGTAGCCTCAAAGTTGCAGGCCCTGGTTCTCATGGGGGACTTCAACCACCCTGACTTCTGCTGGGAAGACCATACAGCCAGGCACATGTAGTCCAGAAGGTTCCTGCAGAGCATCGATGATAACTTTCTGATGCAAATGATGGAGGAGCCGAAGAGGAGAGGCGCTCTGCTGGACCTTGTGTTGACAAACAAAGAGGGACTGGTTGAGAATGTGAAGGCTGGGGGCAGCCTCGGCAGCAGTGACCATGAAATGGTGAACTTCAGGATCCTGCATGGAAGAAACAGGGCGATAAGCAGGATCACAGCCTTGGAATTCAGGAGAGCTATCTTTGGCCTATTCAAGGAGCTACTGGGAGGAATCCTGTGGGCCAGGGCTCTCGAAGGCAAGGGGGTCCAAGAGAGCTGGTCACTGTGTAAACATCACTTCCTCCATGCTCAGGATCGGTGCATCCCCCTGCACAAGAAATCTAGCAAAGGAGGCAGGAGATCCGCATGGATGAGCAAGGAGCTTTTAGCGGAACACAGACGGAAGAGAAAGTTCTAAGGAATGTGGAAAGAGGGGCAGGCCACTTGGGAGGAGTACAGGAATGTTGTCAAAGCATGCAGGGATGCAACGAGGAAGGCTAAGGTCCACCTGGAATAAATCTGCAAGGGATGTCAGAAATAACAAGAAGGGCTTCTTCAACTACGTCAGTAGCAAATGGAAGGCTAGGGACAATGTGGGGCCGCTGCTGAATGAGGTGGGTGTCCTGGTGATGGAGGATGCGGAGAAGGCAGAACTACTGAATGCCTTCTTTGCTTCAGTATTCAGTGCCAAGGCAGGCCCTCAGGAATCCCAGGCCCTGGAGGTAAGAGAAGAAGCCTACAGAGAGGAT